TTATTTGCATAATGCTGTAATTTTTGTTTAGGAGATTTAACTTATTCATTTATTCAATAAGCATTTGTTTATCCACTCACTCTTGGCTGTGTTCAGGTGCTGTTCTAGATACTGGGAATTCATGGATGAGCACAGGACTATGTTTGCATCTTTAATGAAAGATAACTGGATTCATATGACTTATGCTGTGATTATGTTTTTCCAACTCCATGTCTGACAAAGGCCTAGCACCTTGTATCTACAAGGAACTCAAATGTGCTGAAAAGAAAAAAACAAACAACCCCATTACAAAATGGGCAAAAGGTATGAACAGACACTTCTCAAAAGAAGACATACGAGCGGCCAACAGACACATGGAGAAATGTTCAACCTCACTAATCATCAAGGAGGTGCAAATTAAAACTACACTGAGATACCACCTAACTCCAGTCAGAATGCTCATTATCAATAACAAAAAATAACAGATGCTGGAGAGGATGTGGTGAAAAGGGAACACTTCTACACTGTTGGTGGGAGTGTAAACTAGTGCAGCCTCTGTGGAAATCAGTGTGGTGATTTCTAAAAGCTCTAAAAATTGACCTTCTATATTACCCCACAATCCCTCTACTGGGAATATACCCTGAAGAACTCAAATCACTCTATAAAAAAGATACCTGCACACGTATATTTATTGCAGTATTGTTCACAATAGCAAGATCATGGAACCAACCATGCTGTCCATCAAAAGAGGACTGGATTTTAAAAAATGTGGTACATATACACAATGGAATACTACGCAGCCATAAAAAGGAACAAAATCATGAATTTCGCAGCAACCTGGATGGAATTGGAGTTTATAATACTGAGTGATCTCTCACAGAAACAAAGATCTGAGTATCACATGTTCTCACTCCTAAGTGGACCTTGAACAACTATCGTAATACTATAAAAAAAGGATTGATAGTGGCGGAAACTATGGGGGGAACAGGGAGGAGAAGAGAGGTAGGATTAACGGTAGTCGATATCTGTCTGGGGATGGGGGGGCACACCTCATCAACAAGGGTACCTGAACAATGCATATTTGTATACCTAACCCTTGACTGTACCCCACAATTTTAAAATAAAAAATATGTTTAAAAAAAAAAAAGAAGTATTTCCTGGTTCTGTAGTCTTCTGAGTGTTTGTTGGTTCTTGTAGTCTGTAGGCATCCTGTGATGCTGTTTCAACCTGAATGGCCCTAAAACCTATGCTTTCCTTTCTTCCATTGTGGCGCACCGAGTCTTGATCATTTTCTTCTCTTTTGAATAGCATTTTTACTTGTCAGTCTTTCTGGAATAACCACAAGTTACTGAAGAAATAATTACTGGGGTAACAGTACAAGGAGTCAGTCTTGTCTGCCTTGCTACTGTACAATTATATTAAATTTTGCTAAGAGCCCTGATGAAGAACTAAAAAATATGATTTTCTTAAGAGGATTTATGTTTTAGTTTGGTTATTATTTTATGATTTTAAGAGGATTCATATTTTAGGCTATTATATTAAAAATACAGGTTTTTAAATATTCATATATACAGATATATGGGGTTCGTCAATTAAGTTCGTGAACTCAGCCTAGAAAAAGTACTCCATACCTCATAGCTGAATATCACTGGGGTCACCTTCGAAGTACTCACCTTAGGAAGCTATGCACTGACACCAGTGCCTAGTCCACCCATGAAACTAATTTTGGAACTCTTTTTCTGGAATGGCCATCAGAGCCATCGTCATAGTACCCTTGATGTCCTGAATGTCATCAAATAACTTCCTTTAAATATTTCGTTTATCTTCTGGTAAAGAAAAAAGTCATTGGGGGCCAGATCAGGTGAGGAGGGAGGGTGTTCCAATACAGTTATTTGTACAGTGCTGCCAGCATAAGCTTATGGTGCCAAGTTCACCAACTTGATTGTCAGACTCCAACAAATAATGACACAGCTCTGACAGCCATTCCAGAAAGAGTTCCAAAATTGCTTGAATGAGTGGACTAGGTGCTGGCGTTGATGCATAGCTTCCCAAGTGATGTACTTTGAGGGTATCATAGTGATATTCAGCCATGAGGTATGTGGCACTTTTACTAGGATGGTTCGCGAACGTAATTGTCGGACCTTGTATATGAGCCAACTGGACAGCTTTTAAGATAAATGTAGTTCCCAAGATACAAAAAGCAAGTTCTCACCCATAGGATTGGGGAGACATAGAATCACATGCTTTAAACATGAGCAGGTTCAACCAGGTGTGTCCATCCTGCCCCAGCTGTGGAGTCCTGTGCCTGTGCTCAGCTTCTGGTTTCAAGGACAAGGAAGGTGGATTCTGGAAGAGTGATACCAACCGGAGAGAGGATTGCTCCGAGTCTACTGAAGCGAAACTCAAGGACAATCCTAGTCATTTATCTCCTCTGGCATGGCTCACGCAATAGCAAAGTATGAGAGTTGCATTATGTCCAGAGGAAGCTCAAAGGTCTTCAGAATAAGCAGCACTCACAGCAATAGTTCTAAGAGACCCAGAGTGCAAGAGAAAAGTGATGCACTCAAGACGGTGCTAGAATATTGGATTTCTTCTAAGGATTTCTTCCTCCTCTACCTTTGAAAAGAGCATCGATTTTCTTGTCACTGGGAGACATATTTGAAGTAATCGCGAGTATGGTTTCCAGAGGTCTAGTACTTGTTGATATATATGAGAGGGCACCCCCCAAAAAACCAAAAATTATCTTTGGGAGGGTAGGTTTCCTCCACTAGGCTAGTATTCTAGGAATCCATTGGCATCAGTGTACCAGCTAGCATTGTTGTGAGAGGTTGTGTTCAGCTTCAGTGAAATTTTTTTGGAGATTCTTTCAATACGTTTGTCCATTTCATGATGGGTGATTTACAAGCATACTGGCCCATACCACACTGAGTGTTCAGTAGTTTTTTTTAGCAACTCCACCCTCCCTATGCACCCGATCTTGCCCTGAGTGACCTTATTTTGTTTCCCTGGATGAAAATAGTCATCAAAGGGAAATGTTTTGCCAATGTGGAAGAGGTGAAACCAAAAGTGCTAAAAGGCATCAAAATCGATGAACTCAAAAACTGTTGTGAGCAATGGAAAAAGTGTCTAAATAGGTGTATTGCATCAGACAGAGAGTACTTGGAAGGTAACTGAAATTCAAACTTATAAAAATAAATACACAATTTTTTAGAAATAAATTCCAGATTTTTTGGAGGGGTCTTTCCTCATAGTTATAGGAGATATTGAGACTCCAGCACTTTCTTCACTCACTCTTTACTTATGAACACTAAGTGGGGTGTAATTAGCTGCAGGATTCCTGATAGCAATGAGCACGGTGAATTTGCCACTCAAGAAAATTGCCCCTATAATACTCCTGAGACCACCTCAAAGAAATGTCTTCCAGTGTTGTAGATGCCAAATAAAGTTCATAATTCTTTTTGTTTGTTTGTTTGAGTTGGAGTCTCACTCAGTCATCCAGACTGGAGTGCAGTGGCCACTCCCGGCCACTGCAACCTCGACCTGCTGGGCTCCGGTGGTCCTTCCGCCTCAGCCTTCCAAGTAGCTGGAACTACAGGCACGTGCTACCATGCCCAGCTAATTTTTTGAATTATTGTAGAGATAAGGTCTCGCCAAGTTGCCCAGGTGGGTCTCGAACCCACGGGCTCAGGCAATCCACTCACCTCAGCCTCCTAAAGTGCTGGATTACAGGCTGAGCCACCGAGCCCGGCTAGAACAACTTCTTGATGATGATAAGGCTCACTATCCAAGGTCATTTATTCTTTTTGAAGTTAGATATTTATTGTAGAGGAAGAACCAACAAAATCTGGTAATGTGCTGCACAGAGGAACGATGGGGAACTGAGGAGTCTTTGGGTTGTTGAGTTTCTATGAACACAAATATGGAAGTCAGTAGAAGAACTAGTTTGAAGGTAGAGAGAAACAAGGAGGTTAGTTTTGGGTTTTGACTTGTTGAGAAGAGATGCTGCTCATCACCAGGCATTGGACTTATTTGATGCAACTCAAAAGAATGTTTAGGATACAGGAACGACTCAGGAGATTGTTTCACAGAGGTTATACTTCAAACTCTGAAACTGTCAGAGGGGAAAATGCAGAGTTAGAAGTTCAAGAGAAGACCATGAGAAACACCTTCATTAAGGGGGCCAGAGGAGTTTCTCATAATGACTCAGCACTTTTAGTACCATCTCAGACTTCTTTTGAAAAAGTCTGCCCTGAGCTAGCCCATCTGTGATAAATGAATTTCCAGACACCAGTTCTGGCAAGAGATTGAACGAAGCAACATTTGAAGACAAGTACTTTGTCCAAACCATCACGGTTTCACCTTATCATCCTCTCACAATGGATGGATGCAGGAGCAGTGCAGACAGTCAACACATCCTCGAAGTTGTTAGCATCTAACTGGCCAAGAGGGCAGACTCTTACTCATTGTCCAACTTGTCACTAAATACGTGGTCAGTAACAGTGTACCTTGCTGAATTATTAATGGCTAAAAACTTATTTTGTCCACATTCATGCAGATTTGGGTTAGGCTAATGAGACAACAGGAATGAAGTCTGAATAACATCCTGTCTACACCTACTTATTATTTTTTATCCCTGTTGTAGGCAATCTTTGCTTGGGGCCAGCTTGGGGGCAGGGTGAGTTCTTGCCATGGTATTCATAGCCCTTTAGTGTAGTACCCAATTGGCAAATATGTTTTAAAAAAATCAAGATAGAATATTATTAAAAGTTCATGTGCTCCTGAAGAATGTTTCAGAAACAGATGATTTTCTCTTCTCTGAATGTCAATGCACAGTTACTTGTTCATTTATTAGTGTGATTTGGTGACTAAGCTCATTTCATGCCCTCAAGTAGACACAATAAGAGCCTTTAGAAATGCTGCTGCTCTAAATGGATAGCTATAATCTAAAATTTCACGCCATGTATTGAGTTGCTTTGCAATATTAAAGTCATGTTTCATTTTCCTCTCTTGCTTTAGGTCTTGAGAGCTGATCGCAATAACATGGGTGATGCTTGCCCACGGAAGCTGGCAACCGCCAATCTTCTCCGTTTCCTTCTGCTGGTCCTGATCCCGTGCATCTGTGCCCTAGTCGTTCTGCTGGTGATTCTGCTGTCTTTTGTTGGTGGGTGATGCCGTTATTAGAGAAAAGCAAAGTCAAAATGCAAACTGGTGTGATTTAAAACAGCGATTTTTACTTATTTTGCCTAAAGTGTTCAGTCAATGAGAGGATTATCTGTTGATTATCTTATGCAGATTTGCAGTTTCAGCTTCTGTAATCACTCTCCTGGCTATTAATTAATATTATATAAATGAGTTAATTAATTTAAAATATTTAAGGAATGATTACTAGGTTGCAAGCACTCTAGAGCTCAGGGATGGTTACATAAATCTTTTCTTAGGTGTTCACAGTTAAGAGGAAGCCATGATTAACACACAAGGCAGTGCATGTGGAAGACAGAGGTGTATACAGGTCCTGTGGGCACAAAGAAGGCATCCCAGGGGAGCTTATGTTTCAACTTTGGAATTAAGTTCATAGAAATTCCAGTGAGAAGACAGTAGTAGTTCAGGAGTAACTTTTGGAAGAGAAAATAGTAAGTGCAAAAGTGTAACTCCCTGAAGGATAAAGATGAACTTAGAAACTAGGTAGGCATCTGGCAGTGGTAGACCACACAGCTGGACTGATAAGGCCTAAGTGAGGCGGGGTCTTGCATTTCATAGAGGGGTTGGGCTTTAGCAGCCAGATCACTGGTTTTCAAACTCTGTTCCACAGAAATAAGCTTCTGAGGCAGAGACTCAAGGATTGCACAAATGTTTGCTTTGACTTTCATTAAACAAACAAACAAACAAAAAAACAGATCTTAAAAGCACACTCAAACTAAATATTACACACCAAGTTTTATCCAAGCAAACACCAGAAATCCAGTATTATGTGCTGATGAGTTAACTAATGTGTATTGGCATCTTGCTATCTTTTTTTAAAAGAACGATATCCTAAGTTTGAAAGGTGAACTCTTGGGAAAAAAACAGCAACTTATTATCACTGGTAACTACCTAATGGCATGAATCACGATTTTTTTGAATGTATGCTATCAACTAAAATAGAGAAGTAAATATCAAGATGATGTTTATTTGATTACATTCCCAATGATTTTTAAATGTTTAATTTCACTAAACCTCTTATTTTTCATAAATTGGTTTATCAAATTTGCACATTGAGAGCTTATAGAGTAAATTAATTTCAACAAAAGACAGCTGCTATCTATTTGTAGATATTAAGACCTTATGAGACAGGAGATAGCCAGAGAAAGGCTAGGCAGACCAGACAGGGTGGGTCCCTTGGTAACAATGTAGCAGACAATTTAGCAGGCCTTAGGCTGATACACTCGCATTGGTAAATAAGCTACCTGCCAGCCTCTCAAGCTAAAGTACTCGCTGCTGGGATAGAAAAACAACCAATCAGCTCGCTGCCAAGTACTGACCAATCAGCTCACCATTAGGCCCCTACCTCCTGCTGATTGGTCCTCAGTACTTACCAATCAGAACAACCAGTGCCAACCAATCAACTCACAGCTAGTGCTAGCCAATTGGCTTGGTCTTAAGGCTATACAAGCACTGGGTTTCAGCACCAAATTAGCAACCCTCTTGGGTCCCCTCCCGCTGTGGGAGCTTTTCTATTCTCTCAGTAAATCCTGCTTTCTCACTCTCCGGCTGCCCATGTCCCTCATTACTCTTGGGCATGAGACAAGAACCCCCACCTAAAAAGTCACAGAAAATCATCAGAGCTGAAGAGCTGTGCACCCTGGAGACTGGCTTTCCAGCTGATGGAGCCAGTTGAACGGAGGGAGCTGCTGGAAGAAGGCGAGACTCCGAAACTGAAACACTTCTGGGGGCTGCAACACGCTCAGGACTTGGCTTGCCAGTCCATTAGAGCCAACACTCTGGGGTCTAGGCTTGCCAACCCATCAAGCTGACCCTCTCGGGCTCAGCGGCCAACCCATTGAGCTGACACTCTTTTTTTTTAAAATAAATTTTTATATATGGTATGAAGTGGAGTTTAGCTTCATTTTTTCTTTTTTTTTCTTTTTTTTTTTGAGTAGGAGTCTCACTCTGCCCAGACTGGAGTGCAGTGGCCGCTCCCGGCCACCGCAGCCTCGACCCGCTGGGCTCCAGCGATCCTTCCGCCTCCGCCTTCCAAGTAGCCGGAACTACAGGCGCGCGCTACCACGCCCGGCTGATTTTTTGATTTATTGTAGAGATGAGGTCTCGCCAAGTTGCCCAGGCGGGTCTCGAACCCACGGGCTCAGGCAATCCACTCACCTCAGCCTCCCAAGGCGCGGGATTACAGGCTGAGCCACCGAGCCTGGGTGAGCTGACACTCTTGAAGCCCAGGCTGATCTGAAAAAGTCATATCACGTTTATAATATTTATTTGAAAATAGTATTAATCTGCTACAAAAGTGCTTGAAAACTACTGCTGTGTGTTGTGGGTTAACACTGGAAGATCTTCCAAGAAAAAAGAAATCTGACCATAATTCCATTTGGAAAAGTGAAACTGGATACATTACAGAGGATTGGAGGCATAAATAAGTGAAGGCAGGGAGACCAGTTTGGAGCTCTGGTTCCACTCTATGTATGGTGACAAGGGTGCATTCAAACCAACAGAAATCAAAACAGATGGGATTTTGATGTAGCGGGTGGGAGGGGATCAAGGCTAGCTCCTGGATTTTGGCTCGGGTCACCAGGGGGATTGTGACACCATCTGTTAGTACAGAAGTGAAGGCAGAAGAGTCTGACTGAGGCAGACAGAGGGCAGACTGGACACTTGCTCTGTAAGTTAGAGACACTCGTGGGACCACAAAGTACAGTGGGCCCATAGTTTCAGTGCATCCATCTTGATGATTTTGAGAGTGCAGGCTGGACCAAGACATGGAGGAGTATAAGAACTCCAGAATGATGCTGTCCTAGGGAAGCTGGAACTCAGTAGGATTTTTGGCAACCATGCTGACTTTAGAATTTACCTCACCATTTCACGTCTAAAGCTAAAGGCATTCGGAAGGAAGGCTGAGAAGGGAGTTCTGGCTACAGCCATGTATGTGGGCATCTCAGGAGTAGTTGAAGCAGCAGCAGTTGATGAAGTGTGAAGAGAAAATGTGTTGATTAAAAATTGAGGGTGGCCGGGCATGGTGACTCACACCTGTGATCCCAGCACTTAGAAAGGCTGCGGTGGGGGAATTGGTTGAGCCCAAGAGTTTGAGACCAGCCTGGGCAACATAGGGAGACCTCAACTATTAAATAAAAAAATACATAAATAAATAATTTAGCCAGGCGTGGTGGCCTGTGCCTGTAGTCCCAGCTACTCGGGAGGCTGAGGCAGAAGGTTCACCTGAGCCCAGGAAATCAAGGCTGTGGTGAGCCATGATGGTGCCACTGCACTCCAGCCTGGGTGACAGAGTGAGCCCCCAACTAAAAAATAAACAAATAATAAATAAAGCAGAGGGCAAAGCTCCAGAGATGCTAGTGTTTAAGTGAAAGAGGAAGGAACAGGAGATATAGGAGGAGCAGAGAAGAAGGAGGCAGCCTAGGAATGCCATCTCAGAGGTCAGAGGCCAGAGGGTGACCAGGTAAGAGGAGGCCAGAAAAGGTGTCTCAGCCCTGGAAGGCCACAGGTTTCCCATGGGAGCTGGAGGTGCCTCTCACTCTGCAATATCCGTCGTGGCCTGCTCTTTGGCTAAAGGCACAGAGTCACCCCAGACCTCATCTGTGTTCTAATCTTCCATGGGCCAACCACCCTTCAGACACAGGCGGCTTCTCTTCCTGTCTCTGCAGTGCCTATTGGATGTTGTTATTGTGCATTTTGTCCAGAGATTATAGTTATTTCTGGAAAGATCAGTTGGTCAGGAGCCTCAGTCATTCTGCTGTCATTTTATAAAAATCTAACCGTTCTGAGACTGTGTCAATGGCTCACACACACACAGAGGAATATACAGAGGGTGCCAAAAAAATGTATACACATTTTAAGCAAAAGAAAACCATGTTAAAATCTCAACACTCAATATATATTGATAATAAAAGATGAATAAGTCACATTTGACTTCTGCAATTACAAGAGATGCTCAGAGTGGTTTACCACCAGCGTCCAGACACTTCTGATTATGGTGAACTAAAAGTCATACGTGAATAGCATCGCTTAAGATGCATATTTTTTTTTTGGCACCCTCTGTATTCGTTCTCAGGGTCTAATGCTAATATAAAAAGTATTTTTAAGGACCTCAGAGCTTTGAGGCCTCTGAGAAGAGGGCGGAGGAGGAATGCTATTAAAACAGTGCTTTAAGTGAATTATGTTTACTGATTAAATTTTTTCTTTTTTTACAGTTTTATTGAGATAGAATTTATATATCATTCAATTCAAATACCTTTTAAAGTGTACTCTTGAGCTGGGTGCGGCAGCTCACGCCTGTCACTCCAGCATTTTGGAAGGCCAAGGCAGGAGGATCGCTTAAAGTCAGGAATTTGAGACCAGCCTGGGCAACATAGCAAGATCTCGTTTCTATTTTAAAAAAAGAAAAAAGAAATTAGCTGGATATGGTGGCCCATGCCTGCAGTCCCAGCTACTTGGGATGCTGAGGTGAAGGATCACTTGAACCCAGGAGATCAAACTTGGGTGACAGAGTGAGACCCTGTCTCAAGAAAAAAAAAGTGTACAATCCAGTGGCTTTTAGTATAGTCACAGATAAGTGAAAACATCACCACAGTCAGTTTTAGAACATTTTTAGGAAGAAACCCTGTAGCCCATAGCTACCATGCCCTCCTTCCACATCACCTCATCCCAACCTTACTATCACCAATCTATTTTCTGTCTCTAGAGTTCCCTGTTCCAGACATTTCCATGACCATATGTGATCACCGGTGACTGGCTTCTTCCATTTAGCATAGTGTTTGTAAGGTTCACCCATGTTGTAACTTCTTTCCTTTTGATGGATGAACAAAATTCCATTGTCGTATGCCATCGTTGGTTTATCCATTTGTCAATTGATGGGCATTTGGAATATTTCTATCTTTTGGCTATTATAAATAATCCTATTATGAACGTTCATGTGTACGTTTTTGTGGAGGCATGCATTTT